CCCCGAGGCCACACATCAATGGCTTCTTCTGGGCCGCTTAAACAATCCCTTGGCATGCTTCATCCTGCAGCCAACAGGCACCCCAAGGCCACACATCAATGGCTTCTTATGGGCGTCCAAGCCTGCCGTTTGCCAGCCCTTAAACCCTTAAAACCCTCCAAACCCTTAAAACCCTCCAAACGCTTCAAACCCTTAAAACGCTGGACGTTGGCACCCTCCACAAGGCCACACATCAATGGCTTCTTATGGGCGTCCAAGCCTGCCGTTTGCCAGCCCTTAAACCTTCCAAACCCTCCAAACACTCCAAACGCTCCAAACCCTTAAAAACCTTAAAACCATTAAAACGCTGACTTGGCAACCCTCCCCCAATGCTTTGGGAAACCCTTACAACGCTGACTTGGCATGCTTCATCCTTAAACAATCCCTTGGCATGCTTCATCCTGCAGCCAACAGGTACCCCAAGGCCACACATCAATGGCTTCTTATGGGCGTCCAAGCCTGCCGTTTGCCAGCCCTTAAGCCCTCCAAACCCTCCAAACCCTCCAAACGCTCCAAACGCTCCAAACCCTTCAAAACCTTAAAACCCTTAAAACGCTGACTTGGCAACCCTCCCCCAAGGCCACACGTCAATGGCTTCTTATGGGCGTCCAAGCCTGCCGTTTGCCAGCCCTTAAACCCTCCAAACCCTCCAAACCCTCCAAACGCTCCAAACCCTTAAAAACCTTAAAACCCTTAAAACGCTGACTTGGCAACCCTCCCCCAATGCTTTAGGAAACCCTTAAAACGCTGACTTGGCATGCTTCATCCTGCAGCCAACAGCCACCCCGAGGCCACACATCAATGGCTTCTTCTGGGCCGCTTAAACAATCCCTTGGCATGCTTCATCCGCAGCCAACAGGCACCCCAAGGCCACACATCAATGGCTTCTTATGGGCGTCCAAGCCTGCGGTGCACACTGAGCTGGGAAATTGGCAACGAGCTTGGCACAGAGAGTCGGCGAAGAGAGTTGGCAAAGAGCTTGGCGAAGACTTGGGAACGGAAGTGGAGGTGGAAGTTGATGCAGACATGGTCGAGGAGAACCTCACGGAGGAGGCGAGGAGGACGAGGAGGAGGCGGAGAACAGCTAGCCCAGGAGGAGGCGGAGGAGGAGGAGGAGAACAACTCAGATAAAATCTAACAACCCTCACCTGGCAGGTGGGGAATCACACCCACACACTCAAACAGATGTGCCGTGCCACTCCCATTGCTCTGCAAAGTTGCTGCAAGACAGCCGGCCCAGCCCTTTTGCTGATGGCAAACACGCATGCGCCAATAATGACAGCAACGTGTCCCGCGAATCCTGAGATGCACCGGACATCGCAATAGCCACCGATTGAAGTGACTTGGATGGTTCGGTTCTGTCGTTGGATGTTAACATTGCCACATTTGTTTCTTGTGCCACCTAGACTTATACTTGCCATAATACCCAGGGGGAAATGATTGTAGTATCGTGACAAATCCATTACTCCTACAGGACTTATATAAGCTTCCTTCGCAGTGGCTCGAAGACATACCTAACAACTACAAATAGCCAAGGAAAACAAATCTTTAGTGAGCCATGCTGACAAGATTCCTTAATGTTTTGGATCGACAACATGTATCAACTCCTCCGGTCTTCCAGAAAACGGAAACGCTCACATGTTAATTCAGCCTTGTTGTGACGTGACACCAACTCTGACCCACCGATTAGGCGACACTAAGTCAGAGTAACGCCGACCAGCATTCACTGACATAACTTGCAGTTGGGAAACCGCTACAAGGTCGTTTCCAGCGCAACTGTTCGGCCAGGAACAAGACATGCCTTGGTGCGCCACATTCTCCGCCAACACCTGGCTCCAGCACACCAATGAGCACCGGTCCAATTGGTACGTCCAGCTGCAAAGTTTCTGCTTGCCTCTGGCTGCAGTCATCAACAATATCACGTGTGACCTAGATCCACTAACTGCAACTGTCTCAATGTGGCTTTGGACAGTGACACCTATTAAGTCCCTACAGTCCTCATTTATCCATGGGCATTACTTGCATTGGGCTCTGCTTTCACCTTGCTCGGCTCGAGATAGGGGGAAACCTTTTCGGATCTTCAACATCCAGATCTAGTTAAAGACCATGTGCAGCTGCAGCTGTGAACATCTTAAAGACCTCGCATTCAACGACAAGGCACGGAATCGGGCACATCCAGCCAACCGCCCAGCTCCACGTCTCAAAGGTGAGACCCGGACATCTGGCCACACCCGGCCCATCCAACGGATGAGTAAAGCCTCAAATAAATCCAAGACTTCATTGTCGACCTGTGAAAATCCCGCCGGGAACTCCACCGCCTTCGCAGACCCGTGTCGCACATGCATACCATGCTGCGATGCATACACCTGCCACAGTTCATTGTAGCTTTGCACCGATGTTCCATCGCCATGATACCACTTCGGATCGTCACCATAGTACTTCCTGACACACGCCCGCGCAAAGCACTAAACACGCCAGCTGCACTCGACATCTGCCTCCATATTACAGTAACCTCCCTGCAAGAAAACAAATTTTGAAGGTGCGCCCCTCAAAACTCTTTCTTCATCACAAGGACATCACCATACTTTTGAAGGAGGCCACTGCTAACCAGAGTTTCGTACAATTCTACCACCATTGGGCAATATTGATTTACAAGGGGTATCGCTAAAGCTAAACACAGCTCAAGTCGGTATGATCTTCTATTTGACTTGAAAAATCAACGCCCATGATATAGAATTGTTACCCCTTGCATGCAACACAACGTATCGCTATTCCGAGGTCCCATCGCTAACCTCAGTTGTTTTGCATTTCCTGATAACCAATGTCCAGCCAATACATCTGTTAGAGTTCACGAGTTTTGACGGGTGCTCAAATGCACAACAAACAGGTTCCACCACTCTGCGAAGACAAGGCACCGATGCTCGCACGTCATGTGCTCCAACGTTTGATAGCAAACTAAAGACAGGAATGGGGGGCCTAGATGAGACTCCACAATGGCCTGCATTGCCTCAGCCGCAGAATTTGTGCACAGGAAACAATCAGCTTACCCCACCCGGCTCACATCTGACACTGCATTCGCCCCAGAACATATTCTGACTGCAATGAAGGTGCCCACATCTGGTTAGTGCTGAGGCCGGCTAGCCGGCACATCTGTCAGCATTTGAACGGCTCCTACTGAGCCAACATGACACTGCGCAAACCCGGAGCCAATGGAAGTTTGTGTTTGTTGACTACCTTCTGGCCACGCTCCAGCTGCGGACCCTCCAAACCCTCCAAACCCTCCAAACGCTCCTCTGGCCACGCTCTACCACCCTTCCTCAAGGTCAATTTCATAGCTTCTTATTCTTTTGTTATGTATTGGTACATTATGTATTGTTATATTATGTGTTGTTATATGATCTACCACCCTTCCTCAAGGTCAATTTCATAGCTTCTTATTCTTTTGTTATGTATTGGTACATTATGTATTGTTATATTATGTATTGTTATATGCTCTACCACCCTTCCTCAAGGTCAGTTTCATTGCTTCTTATTCTTTTGTGATGTATTGGTACATTAGGTATTGTTACATGATCTACCACCCTTCATCATAGTCAATTGCACCAAGTGAGGTGATGTTTAGACACCAAGGATCACTCACCAGTTCACCCACGCGTATCGAGTCGTCACAGCCAGCCACCCCACGTCACCACCGTCCGGTTTTAAGGCCTGGCCTGCGACGTCTCATCGTCCACGGTCCATTGGGTCCATTGATCCGCATTAACTGGCATTTCTGTCTGTCCAGTTGCGAAAATAATGTGAACACATGATATATTATCTATCCATAACATTCAACATATTGAAAAAAAACATAATTATGAAATACTACAAGTGAGTGGAAACATCCAAGATCAATGTGTTCGACTTTGCTTCCGTCCTCAACTTGACGATAACTGTTTCTGCGGCATCGCAGCCGAAGCGATTTTATCAGTGCTTTGGAAAGGGGCCATGGTGAAAGTCACCCTTAGACATCGATGAAAAAAATCGTGAAATATGGATGTGTCTCAAAATAGGGTATATTCCCAATGAAATAGCCATTTAATAGGGATAATGATCATTAACCATTGGGTTTAAGGGTACACTATTTTCAGACACACCCATAGTGGTGTGTTTCCCCCCAAAAAAATGATGAAAAATGAATCAAATGAATCAAACGTTGCTCAAGAAACAAACCAAGGCAGATAGTTTTTTGGATTTCAGATGATTGTGCCATTGATATCAGGGATTTCCGTGTCTGTTTATTGAATGTTGTTTTCATGCATACTTTTGGTGCGCCTTTTCCTTGCGAAGACTACGTCTCACGCAAGGGAGGCAAGACACACCATCCCCAAAATATGAAAACAACATTCCATGAACAGCCACGGATATCCCTGATATCAATACATTGCATTCATTGTCCCACAATCTATGTTTACGCTACCTAGACTTTCAAAAACAATATTTGCACGATTGGTGCGCATGTGGGCCGTTTTGACCTTTCCCCGCCGCTCCGCCCTGAAAAGGGGGTCGGCGGCACCAGGGCGTTAGCCCATTCTATTTTTGATGATCAGGGTGCCATCACTGATTCTCTTTTCCCCAGTTGTAAAGCCAGGGAGGATGCATTCTTGGGAGATACAATGCGTTGTGGCTCGCAAGTTGCTCAGCTCATGACACCCATCTACACACACACACATCTGCATTTGTATAAACATGTATGAAATATAAAACAAATCTGCCATGAACGTGTAACTTCCTTGACCACCTGCTATGCAAAATGGCGAAAAATATCAATGTCGGAGCTTTGTCTGGCAGGATGTGCCCAAGCTGCGGGATTAATAAGGGCACTATTTTGTAAGGGTTTTTAACTCATTTCATCAACCTGCCAAACGAAACGACTAACCATTCTACATGTGCATTCTTCAGCCTCCTGGAACCCGAAATTTTTGAATAACAAATTTCCTGTATACATGTCACTCAAATAACCTTGGTTCCCCGTTCACCACAACATGCGCCAACTAGCACCAAACTGCGATTCGTTGTAGAGGCCAGCGAATTCGGCACATGCCCAAATGAGGGACCTGTCAAATGCGGGTCTGTTGACAAGATTAAACCACCAAATTTGCTGCGTGCGACATGGGTTCAATTGCTTGGATCAGATTAGTATTTGTCATGATCTTGGTGGTGGAAATCGATGACCATTGTCAAACACAGTTGGATAGGGGTGATTTCAAGACTGCGGGGTTGGTCTTGTTCGATTTTCCCGACATATTTTCGAACAATGATTCTGCGAGGGCAGGATGCATTAATATGCATGACGTTTTTCAAAACACAGCGACTTTAGTGCAAAAACATCAACCATTGTTGAAAAACAATATTTTTTGAAACAAACACACACACACACTTATCTGCGAACTATGCTTGTGCCAAATTCAGAATCCATACGCCTGTGAGAATGTATGAAATAAAAAATGATACAAACAACACAATCGCACGCAAAACAATCCATGTGCACATCTATCAACGCATAACTATGTATGAACGGTATAGGTATCAAAACCTGAAACAAATGGGTGCAAATCAACAACATAGTTTTGTATGCAGACTACCTCATGTGCCGGTGCCACAGCGGATGCAAAGGGGTATGAAGCAATTCGGCCCAAACATTAACTGCAGGAAAGGTGCAGCGGTTTGACGCCTGGGCCGTGTGAAATTCAAAGCAGCTTGGGAGCCAACATGAACCAAGCCGGCATGTGATAGTGCAGTGTTGGGCAATTGCGCAGTGTTGTCATTACTTCACCCAGGGGTGGAAAAATGGGAAGCAACCCCTGTTTGGGAATGTTCTGGCTGGTGAATGTTTGGGGGAAAAATCTGACACCAATTATCCAAAAAAAATGCGCATTTTGAGCTTCATTCCGAAATCTAGGAAGTGTGTTGCCGTTTAGGTCCTGGAACTTTATTCTTGGACTTGAAGCTCAGCCCATCAAAAAAAACATGCTTGGGTTGCCCGCAACGAATTAAAAAAACCTTTCCCCATGCAATGCCTATCAAAACGTGCGAAAAACTGGGGCCAGAAAAACAAGCTGCAGCAGGCCCCGGAAACCCACAACCGCCGCAGCAGCTTGAATGTGCTCATTGGAGGCTGGAAAAAAATTGAAAATCGGCTCAGCAGTGCAATCTTCAGAGGGCCAAGACAGTGCAACAAGTCAGAGCCAAGTTTCTCTTCGACCGCCGACGCGCTTTGGCGAGTGACGGCGCCTGGGCGTGGACGGCGTGGCCAATGCCAGCTGAGATGCTCAGATGCGCCGGGGCTTCCATGCACACAAGAACAAAGCAGAGTCATGTCTGTTGCACACTGAGGAAACCTTTGCCGCCACAAAGCAAAATGAGAAATAAATCAAATCAAGTGTGCATCGTGTTGAGGCAACTGCTCATGGCATACGAATGTCGTTGTCTGTTCATCGTTTCTGCAAAATTCCTGCAATTTGTACCCGTATCACTTTGTAGTTCAAGGGTCTGGGTGAAATGAAAGCCCTTAGGGATGGACAACACCACCATGTGTTGAGGCCAGTCCAACAGCAAGCACATGCTGAACATTCGAAACCCTGCAATTTGGGCTGCAGCCAGCTATCTCAACCCCATTAGAACCTAACTGCCTAGCTGCTTGATTTTGAAAGTAGTCTGGTGATTTTGGCTCAGATTGGGTGGCCCCTCCACTGCACATTTCACCATGATCATGATCATCACCGTCATCACTGCCAAGATGACTTCAAAGATATTCAGAGATAAAATAAAAGTATATCAAACATGCGTCCTCATGCTGCCTCTTTTAATCTTGCTCCATCCAATTTTTCGTGCTACGACTCTGGTAATTTGTAGGGAACCTGGAATTTTGCAAGGACTGTGAGCTCCATTTTCCACACATCAAAGGGAATGTCATCTTCAACAATGACGTGGGAGGGGCAAAACTTCCAGAAGTTAGGAAACTAATGGGGATCATTACGCAATCTCAAGCCAGCTACTGCGATAGTTGTGACATGTTCCACAGACTTGCTTGCCATGCGAGACTGCTCGCATCTGGCTGGTGCTTCCAGCCCAAAAACAGATGGTTGAATGGCATCATCTTTCTATACAGGCGCGAAGCATGAACAACCATTTCAAACACTGGAGCAGTGTTCATGGATACTATCTTCCTATGGCAACCGTGTCACTGTCGAACTCCCAAACATAGTTTGCGCAATGCAGCCAGATTTGAGAAAATGTTTGGGCAAACTATTGGGTCTGAGACTTGAACCGTTTCATTACAAGCTTTTGACGGCTGCTTTCAAAGAAATGTTGAATAATATCGATGTCTGGATGTAACGGGTTTCGATTGAATGGAGGACCCAATACCCATGCAGTCAGGCTTTGGAAGCTACAGAGAAAAACGCTTCTGTTTGTCAAATTTGTATAAATTTGTCTATTTCCGGAGATTTCGGGTGGACCAGTAGATGTCCACCTTAAATGTCCTTGATTGTCCTGGTGTTCTGAGATGGATTGACTTTATCTTTTTACGTATATAGAGCTTCGGTCAGGCCCAAAGGTTCACTGGCAGCATGAATTCCATGTGGACCAGGTTTGGTGAGAGGGGTTAAGCCCACAAAATCAATGGATCCCACTTTTTCTAATAGAATTAGGCATATTAGGCATATTAGGCATGTCCAATTGTACATATCAAATCATATCAAATCATATCAACCTATCACAATTGTCGTGAAAAATTCGCCGCTGAGCCCTGGGGGACTCAGAGAACTGGCAGAGTTCAGGTGGCTGGAAACCCTTCACAGCTGGACCACGTCGCGTCACATTTACGTCGCAAACCCAAGCTCCAGGCGGATTCAGCATCTTGTCCCAAAGACATCCTGAGGATCTGCCGACTCAGAAACATCCAAGGCAGCTGCAACCGCCTCGTATATTTTGCACAGAAAAGTGTCCTTAAAACTCTAGTGCATCTGACATCAAAATCCAAGGTTGCTTTTAGACCATCCGAAACCTGAAGAACATCAATTATTGCGTCAATTTGGCCCATTTCGATACTCGTAACCATGAGCTCAATCCGGAATGTGTGGCTTGTCAATTAAATCGAAGGATCGACCAGCGTCATGCCCTTAATATTGGATATTTTAGTTGTGAAGGAAACAACTTGTTCGATAGCTTGTGGTTTCAACAAACCATCAATCTGAATTTGAATCCATCATCTCATAAGCATATACATACATACATTACATTACATTACATTACATTACATTACATTACATTACATTACATACATACCTACCTACCTACATACATACATATATATTGTATATATATATATTGTATATATATAATTATATATATATATATATATATTAGATTTAAAGAAAATATAGAGATTGATACATGGAACAAACACAATCCGCTGGTTTGGGCTCGATATCTTGCGATCCCGAGCTTCTGCAAAGCCATTTGAAGCTCTTTTGCCTCGATGGACAATTCTTCACTTGCCTGGGCTCAGTCGACTTCGCTGGATTTTCGTTGGAAATCGGAGCTTCGGAATGGAATCAACTTGGCACCAGTGGACAACTTGGAAACTGATGAAATTGGATGGGAGGTTATGGATGATGGGAATTATAAAACTGTAGAATAATGATCAATCTTGTGTAATATAAATGAATACAGCTATGACGATCATCAACATACTTCGGTCCAGTGGATGAATTGGCGATTTCATGTGCTTTGGATCGTCGGACATGGAGCTAGTCACCCGAAAATTGGGGGGCAGATTCATGGGACAAAGCCACCTAGCCGGATAGGTAGTGAAGGTTTGTATAGTTTATCTGGATAGACAATTCTCACACGAATTGAAGAATCGGCCAGCCACCAGCCAGCTCTATGATCGTGTTGTGCTGCACCAGGGAAAATCAGGGCTTGAAACCATGCCGAATGAGCACAAATGAGAAACGGATCTGGTTTCGTAGACCATGTCGAACATAACAATTCCATATGATTCACATGGAGCAATCTCGGCAACTCCAGATTCACGGAAAGGACATCCACAGATGTGAAAAGCTCCCATCGCTTACCCCGTGTTTTGATCATTTTCAGAAACACATGTCCATCATTGTCCATCCCTTACATATCTTACATGTTTAGTATTGGCTCCATGGGTTCGGCCAAGGGGCGGTGGACAAGGCCCCAGGGATCGTGACGTGAAACTCGTCCCCGGGATGATGACCATTGGGCACTGAAACGATCATTGGCTTACCATCTACGATCCTCGGTGACAAAAGCCTGGGGACAAAAGGGCTTTAAAAACATTTAAAAACGCCTTAGATATGTTAGACAGAGTTAGACTTTGGGATGGAAGCTGGAAACCCTACGGGATTGTGGAGGGCTAGGATGCTTTCTTAGGTGCAAAGAAGTGCTACGAAATGCTTTTGCAATCTCTCGCTTTCAGCTCATTTTCTGACTTCACCACAAACATCCCCTGTTGGCCCTTGGATATTATACCATGGGGACAAAACTCCAAGAGCGATCCACCACTCCCAGATGAGCATCGATCGCACCTCGATTTGCTGCCCAGCAATGGCACCTGGCTGACATTGGCCATGGATGGCCATGGAACATATCACATCAGGTACCACCGGTGGCCCATGCAGGTTGAGAATGCAAAATCTTGGTCAGTGCATCCCAAAGGTGCAGGTTGCAGGCCAAAAAAAAGAACCATCAAGTAAGATCGTGTAAAATAATTAAATATAACTAATATAACTCATTACCTTCTCTTAATATCCAGAGATTGTCGGAGTAAACTCGCAACACAGTCGCCTGCCGGGACTTTCACCTTGGCTCCACATGGCCCATGGTGAGGGAAAAGACCAACCCCAGCAACCCCAGCCAGACATGTGCCTCACGTGACTTACGTGACTCAACTTGGATTCAACTTGGATGGATTCTGACGAGAAAGCTGGGCAAAACGGAACGGCGTATTGTTCATGTTCATACCAGCCAGCCCCCAGAAGTACGTCCCCAGATTCTCAGATTTTGCGTCCAAGCCGAGGTTCTGTCTGAGTGATGGCACGCTTGTCCAGGACCATATCGACCTGTGAAGTGTCCAAGCAACCCACGTTTCCCAGTCGAATGTCCGATTGCGAGATGAGTTTCCCGCATCCTCAGCATCTGTGCTGTGCATCTCGCTCATGGACTCCTCAGCCCGAGAGAGGAGCGATATCACCAGAATGCCACTTGATGACCCTGGGATACCCTGGGTTGCGCCAATCTTCTCTGGTTGGGTGCTGATTAAGTGCATTATTGTCGTCAATCACCCACTGTAACTAAAAGCACAATGAGCTTCGGCGTGTTTTTCAAGAGTGGAGTTTTGTGGGCCAGCTCTCAACAGAGTCCAAGGGCAAATCCCCAAGGCTTGTTTAATCAATGGTGACTGCGATTTGGTGTTGATAATCAATGTGACTCAAATACGCCCCTGAGCTTATTCCGCTCGGTGCTTGCCACACCTGCTTCAAATGGCAACTTGAGTTTTGGGAATCCCCTACCTGTGTGGAAATTCTCCCTGCAACTGGCGATCCAAGTATATTCTTCATCCATAGGAAATACAAACAATTATAAGAATTCTGCTGCTTCGGGTAAATCATAGGCGGGCAAGCTGCAATGTCCAGCACTGCCACGATGTTGTACTCTGATTGTCCCGCACCTGCACACCAAAGTGAAAGGTCATCCAAAACCATGCGCAAACAGGATATCTCAATAGTGGCCCTTCCTGATTCATGTGGTAACAAGTAGAATATCTGTGTCATAATTGATAGACCTGGAAGATATGGAAGCTGGTTCACATGGTTCACACCTCAAATCTGCTCAGGATTTTGGTCCAGTCCCACTCAGGTCGGCGCCTATCATTCCCAGCTGTTGCAGTAGTGTGAGGATCCGCATCATATCCGATGCAGACCAAACCTGCCATGATTGGACCATGATTGGACCATGATTGGACCATGACTCCGTGATGACTCCGTGATGACCATGCGTCCCAGCAAGACATCAGCAAGACATCAGCAAGACATCAGCAAGACTGCCAAGGTCCTGTTGTCCTGTTAAGGTCCTGTTAAGACATGTTAAGATGTTTTTCAGACGCAGTCCCGGTGATCTGATTTCATCTAGCTTCTTGCAAATGGGATCACAATGGCATGGCATATAAGTATATATAAGTCATGTAGTATAACCAAAGCAACACACTTTGGGCCACATGTACATGTACATATGACTGTATCTATACATTCCCACATTTACAAATAGCTTGTCTTGACTAATGGAAAATCCAATTCGAAAAATACTACAACACATGGTTGCTGATGCTGAGCGCTGCCAAGCAGCCATCAGGTCAAAGTCTCTGCAAACTTCCACCAAGAACCTAAGCCACGACAGCTCGCTGAGCACCGTTGCTTCTGGATTGTTGCATGCCATCATTGACGGATGCCATAGCGAGTGTCTAAGAGAAACATTAAGTATATAATACGGCGACCGTGAACATTGACACTTCTTGAACACGCTGGTGATTATGGTAATCATCATCATGATGATGATGATGATGCTGATGCTGGTGGTGGTGGTGAGGATGAGGATGAGGATGAGGACAACAAAGAGGGTCATGTTGCGAGGATGGTGGCGGCGGCGATGGTGATAGTTTGATCTGATTGTTGCAAGACAAGGCCATTCTTCCGCTGCAGCCAATCTCCAAATAATGTTGTCAGTGCGCTTCTGCAAGATGTGCGCTGCACACGATATGCAAACAATATCAACAAGATTCAACAGGATTCAACAAGTCCTATACAAGCCTATTGAATTAAGCAGTACAACCGTTAGATCCAATATCCAGCAATCAGTGGCAATCTCCCATAGGCTCTGCATCAAACTGTTCCAAGATGTTCCAATCCTCCTACGCCACGCCCATGGCATTCCCATGGCAGAGGGGCTCGTGCAACCTGGGACGACAGCGGGTCATCGTCTCATCGCTGACTTGCTTCACCGTTGAGCCTGGCGGAGCCATGGTGGAGCCATCGACATCATGAGATCACGACTTCGAGAGGAACCCCTAAAAAATCAAACACCAGGAATGGTCATTGTTGGTTTTGTTGAATGTTATTGATGGTTATTGGATGTTATTGGCATTGGAGCTATTTGGAGTTACAACTGGAGTTATTTGGATGTGACTTGAACAACTGGGCCCATGAAGGGATCATCTCCGACATTTCTATTTTGTGATCCGCCCCCATAGGAGATAAATGGAGATAAGGGGGTTGGGTATCAGAGACTGCCAAATGTCCGATGGCTTCACATGAACAATATGAAACATACATGATGTGGTAATGTGAGAAATGGATGTTCCCATGAAACAGGGTATGAACCACAGGTCTGATAACAAGTGGGAACCCACAAATGGGTTTGCCATTTTGGAAATCATTTAGTTCTTGAGGTGTGCCGCATGCTGCCCATATTAGATGTCTTGAAGCTTACATGAAGTGCTAGTAGCAGCCTGCCGCTAAACTTGAGGTCAATTCCGTGGAATCAAATTGCTTGGAAACAGAGTGCGCACGAATTGTAAATCCTGAATGGGCTCTCAAGAAAGCAAGCATTAATTCACTATCATCCACTATGGAATCTACGGATATTATACCAAACACGGACAGCCAATGACCTGAGCGGTGCCAGAATTTCAATTTCATACGAACGGGTAGCGTATGGAAAGTTGTGATGCATTTGACCTGTTGCCAAATGACCCTGGCTGCCAGGACGAACAAGAGAGGAATGGATTCATGAACCCAAAAAGGAGTGTGTTTATGTAGACTTAGTGGTTTTATGCAGTTTTATGATGTTTTATGATGTTTTATGAGACCTTTGCACTTTACCCTGTATCCTCAACCATCTTCTACACGCCCTCATGGCTGGAAAATCCCCGGCGCCACCTTTGTTCCCACCATACTCCGAAGGGTCGTAGATGGTATGATCGATATCCTGGGCGGATCTGGGGGTATCCATGGGCATACGTAAACAGGATCTGGGGCGTAAACAGCAGAGCCAATCTGTTACAACAGGAGATGCTTATTATATCTTCTTATCACCACCCAGTCACACGAACATGGTCAATTTCCATTCATTTCCACGTACCTTCTCAGCCAAACGTTGCCATTTGACGAAGTTTATTCGCGTCTCATTGGATTGGTCATAGACATGGCATAGTCATGGCATAGTCATAAGCCCTTTGTCCCTTGCAGAAAACCAATCGGGTGCTGTCCAAACTTCCCGAAGGATGGTCCTAGGCCTTGAACCGATTCGACCTGATTCGACCTGCCCCACAACTACCCCAGGTATGGACGGTATGGACGATGCATTTACCATGCTGTGTACAAAATTGAAACTTGTTGAGAAGCTGAGGGCTGCCCACATCTGACATTTTGGTTCGCAATCAGCAACACCTTGCATTTCTAGCCCAAATTCACTAGTTCTGCAAGTTTCACATGACATATCCGCTGACGCCAAGAAGCCAGCACCAGAAGCTTTTTCCCTAGGCGTGGCTGCCCAACGACCTCATGGCTGCGCCCGACAGAAAATGGAGTTCATTCCTATCCACAAAGCTGTCGCAACAAATTGGTGCGTCCCAGCTAAATCCAAAGCTGAGGTTGACCTGCCAGAGAGAGGTTCTCAAACGGACCTTTGAATCCTTTGAACTATTTTGAAATGATCTTGGATGGTGGGCTTATCCGGGCTTCTCTTTGTTTCAGCATAGCTGATTCATGGGAGTCAGCTCCAATTGCAAACCGATATCACGATCCCAACCAGCCAGCATTCAAATATGGCGTCCTACTCAGGTCTCCAACACAGCAAGTTGATAATTCCCATTGACCTTGATTCTTTCTGGTCTAATTCTTTTACGAGGGTATTGAACATTGCTACCCAACAAACTCATCTTGCAATGACAAGGGAGTAAACAACGATGTTTGGGCCATCGGAATGGTGGCATGATCAACCGCATCATCGGGCTGGGCTGCTGCATCCTTCTGCCGAGAGACACAAATGGATTTGAATGGCCCTACCAGGCCCAAACAGAGCAGTCCAAAGCGGTTGCCTGTGGCGCCAGGCGGCCAGGGGTCACTAGAAAACGGGTCAAACCAAGGTATCCACAGGATATTGGAACGAACATGACCATCATGATCATGATATACCATGATATACCATGATATACCATGATATACCATGATATACCATGATCCATGTTGGGTCTTGACTTTTGAAACTGCAAATGGTTTCCAACAACACCAGCCAGATAAATTCAATGAGGTTTTGTTCCTCAGATCCCATGAACATCATGAGGATTCTATGAGGATTCTCCCGCGTTTTTAGTTCTTTCTGACTCAAACTTGGCTGCGGCCCTGTGGATATGGCGCCGTGGTGCCTTCCTGCCGCTGGAAGAACGGCATGGGGCTAGCGCTGGGGACATCGTTGGGCCGGGTGTACGGGGATGGCACGGAGGGCTCCTGGGCGCGAGGTCACGGAAGGTGGAAACACAGAGTGGATCACACCCGGGCTGCATGATACTAGTACAATACAAGATTCTAGGTACAATACTTTTACAATACTCTTACACTAAACATCAGTAGACTAAGCAATGATTTAGTCACTTTAGTCTTTAATTTTCATTGAATCCAGCGTCAGTCTCAACACAACAAGCATCCGGGTGCTTGCCAGAAACTTTCCAGAGCTTTTTCAACATTCCATCTCTTTCCACCAAAGTTCTTTCGAAGCAGTCTTCCCCACAGCCGGCTTTGCCGTCTGCGTCTCGGCTGCACATCGACCCTGGGTCTGGACAGTTTGGGCAGCCACAAAGGTAGAGAGCAATGTGGCATGTCAATGGTTTACAATGACAAATATGACAACATTGTTCCAACATTTCGGGCAACATTTGACTTGTTCCTGTCGATGTGAGCAGTCGCAGAATGGGATTACCCTGTTTTTACTCCGATGCATAGTCATTGAAAAATCATTCGGCCCCGCAAGAACTCAGCAGTATTTGCAAAAAACATATACAGTATCGAAACCATGTTCTTCTCCATTTTGTGCTGGCTACAATGGTTGTTTCAAGCTTAGCTGTATGATGTTATCTCTTACATTCGCTGCACCATCAGGGTTCCTTGGTGTAGAACTCCTCTCGCGCCAAGGACAACGCTTGGACCGCGGCTTCGTTGGGGTTCTTGCCCTCTTGCACCAACCTTCTGGAGCTGGACATGGATGTTCAACAAATGACAAACCAAACACATAACAACAAAAACACCATACAGACATATACAGACCATACACCACACAGGAAATTTGAAGAACAAACCGCAATTCACCTGTCATTTTGTGTGTGTTTGTGTACTACACCTACTAGAGTCTGTTGTCAAATGTGTAAATCGCTCATTGTTGTCAACATGTTTCTCTCATTGTTGATTCAACTTATGGTAATCGACTTTGTGCATCAACTGGCCAGGCTTTCCCAGCTTTTATTTGAGTCAACTCTACTGCATGGATTTCCACCCGAAGTTCCAGAGATGGAGCAATTTGTTAAACGATGAACGGAGAGAACCTGTCTTGGCCAACTCCAGACTCCAAATGACTCCAGATGACTCCGGAACAGAACATCTAAGTACCAGGTACCCGTCAAACAAAAAAGTATGATCACTAACAGGCCACCATGGAATAGAGAGCTCAATCACGGTTGCATCTTTTGGTTTTTCATGGCAAAACAAATGAAGAGTTTCATTTCATCCCGCCTCTGGAAGTGTGTATGGATCACTTGCTTTAATTCACTCATGGCGATGGGAGTGGCATTGGCGCGGGTCAGGGATTGTTTCAGGGGTTCTTTGGGTTCTTTGATTTGAAACAACCCAGAAAAAGTGGGGGACGAGATGATTTTCAGGCAGAGTCTCTAGGGTTGCCGGGTACAAGAGGTTATGATATGGCACAGCTGCTTGCGATCCTTGAACGATCTGTGAGTACTGAGTACCACTACGCTTACGTGATGTGCAAATTATGAGCGCTTCACAGATTTTTAGAAGCACCTTGAAATCACATTTGATTTTTGGAAGGTGTGAATCATCCTCTTCAGGCTTACTAAGCTTGAACCAGCTTTGCGGATGGCCGATGCGTGATGCTGTTGCCGCTTTGGTGGACAACCGAAACTAGGAAGGCATCACTGCTCCAGTGGAAAACATGTGGCATTCGATGTGGCATTCTGTTTGAGGGTGCCTTGAGACATCCAACAGGATGAGATATGTGCAGATTATTGCAGATTGCTCCACATGATGACAGGCCAACCTCGGCAAATCCCATGCCACAGAGACTGCACAGACCCCATCCACCTTCCACACAGGACCCTCGTGCCCCTTGAGGTGTCCAATCTGTTGCTGCCGTCCATCGGTCACATCCCAGATTCGGATGGTCCCATCACCTGGGAACATGTAGAGTTTCAGAGAAACAATGAGAATCATGAGAAACATCGTGCTATCGTGCCGACAAAAACCATCTAAGATTCTTTGCCCAAGATTTTTCTGCTCTTCTCCATCCCAATTCAGATCTCAAGGAGGATTCTTCATTCTGGTGGACACGCTACCGAGGACGTGGCTGGATGCAGCGGCTGCCCGCTTGGCGTAGTAATCCAACTGCACGTCATGGAGTACGCCTGGCGATGATTTCGACACCGAGATCAAACAAGCCCAGATCCAACCAGATTGGGCATAGATATGCTATCTACATATATATACATATCAAATTATGTCTAGGACTATACAAAGTTTTGACCCGAGGGTCAGCTTCAAATATCTCAAAATACGAAAGCATGGGAAAGCGAAAAACAATCCTACAGTCCTCAGAACGAAGGAATCCTCTCTTGGGTTTGCATACTCTTGGAACATAATTCCTTCAACAGCGCGACAAAGCGGCCGTCGCCAGGGCCCCGCACCAATGTTTGTGGTATCCAGCGAACCCACCATTTGCCTTTTTCGTCCCCCGAGAAGCCAACATGACGCAAGATGGATACCGAAGATTCGTCAACAGCTTGATATTTTGGCCGCTTTGATCACTGTAAGCTCCAGACGACATGGCCACGCAGCACCTCAGACCAAACAAATGATAGCCGGCAGAGAATGGTGAGATGACTCACATCAATTCGTGAAGTGCAGCATCATATCCCATGTCGTTTGGATTCTTTTGGCATTGGTAATTTTCACAAGTGCAACATTGTGCAACATCACATCACCAATTACTCTGTTGAAATGGCATGATGGAATCACAGAATCAGATTCGGTGTGAAGGGAGGCAGCCCTGCTGGGTAGGCCCCGCAAAGAATATCGATAGGGGATGATGGCAAGGGTCGAGGGCTTATTAAGGCCTTATAAGAACATGAAAAAAAATAAATATAATGCCAAAATAAGGTAAATATAGGCAAATTGCTAAACATAGACTATTTTGGCCTTTTTGGGATCACAGAATCAGATTCGACAGAAAGATTACCCATGTTTTCATCTCAGTGTCGTTTCAGAAAGATTGTCCGAAGGGCAAAGAAAATGAATGCCCGAATGAACAGCAATTCGAGGATGTTGCAATTTTGGGGGAGTCGCATCATCCGTCGCTCGGAAAAATGACGATCTGAGTTTTTAAATGTTTTTAACATATTCTGATTGGGAGACTGAAAATCACCATTTCAACTGGTCATCAAATTGCCATGGGGTTTGCTCTCCAATCACCAAAGACTTCATTGCAAATCATCGACAGTAGCGGATTCACCAGATACCCACCAAACCGAAATAGGGCCGGTGAAAAAATCAAACGCAAACTCTTAGACTTCCAAACTTCATGTTTGGTCCTTTCCAGTATGCAAGTGTATCGCCCCAAAAAAGAATTTTCAAAATGAGAAACATAGTATAGTTTTCAATTCAATAGACATCTTGCTTCAGATACTATGCTGTTTTGACATTTTGCCACCCAAAAAAAGATAAAGAAGGTTGTGTTTGCTCCAAGAAGTCTGCCTAGCCACGCCGCGGCGCTCCACTTTGCGAGGGCTGCGGTGCGGACAAAACCGGCGGCGGCAGCCGCGGTTCCACGGCAGTTCCGTGGAAAGCTTGAGCTGTGAAGCGGCAATTTTTGGCACCAAAAATGGATGGTTTGTGCGCGTTTGTAGCCCAAGGCAGCCCTGGAGCTCAAAGCAAATCCACAAATAGAGTTGCGAAAGATTGCAGTGGCTGAAGCAAGGCGATTTGACCATGCTCGGAGTTACTTTTTCTCATGAAACAACACTTCATTCGATTAGCGTGGGCCCAAAGATTTCAACGCTTATTTCAACCTTGCACCTAAAAATACCTAAAACATAAAACATATGAGAAAATGAAGTGATATGAAGTGACATGAAGTGACTATAATGATCTCCAACAAAGGCCTGTTGGGAACAGAGACGGGCGAAATCTGAGGCGAGCGGACTCAGTAAAGACAAAGGACCAAGAGCAGCGCTGGGATAGGCCAAGTCGTCGCATGTCACAAAGGGATGTTTCCATCAAACCAGTGCCATACCGGGCATACCTCTAGGAACCCCTCAATTCAGGGCAGGTTCTGCAGGTAGGTTGGAAGATGTTGGACGTGCCGGACTTTCCGGTTGCGGTTGGGGAAGTTTTCATCCATATCTCGGCCTACGCTTCACCAAAAAGATCCAAACAATAGATTTAAAACCCTGAGAAAACAGGAGCTCCGCCTATCATGGTCAAGTCGCATGGCTAGAGATATACAATTACAACTTCGGTCACTTGCATACAGCAGCAACCTTCTTCCAGCAAAGCTTATCCATGAATTCTATGCTACGTTGCTTGTCAACATGAACCTAATGCAAGGGAATCCAAGGGAACTCTTTTGACGCTCTCCATCCCACGATAGCTGCGCATCAGGAGTGGGCGCAACATCTATCAACCATAATAATTGCTCACTCACATGGCAAGCGGCAACAGAATATAAGAGACCTTAATCAAGCTTCCGGCAGAGTGTTCCATTGTTTTTGCTTAATATTGATGTGGAATCCTTGCTGGTTCTCAGAAATATCTCCAAAAAAGAGCTTGATAACCACCTGAATATGCATCCATATGCATCTAGAGGGCATAAAAAATCTTCCACACGAACATGTAGAAGTCGAACACTTGCTTTGGATTCTCTGCATCAACCTTCTTCTCCTGGCAGCGCAGTGGACGGTGACGGTGCTGCCTATTGTGGGGGCGCATCTAGGTGACCTAATGACTCAACTCAAAATGATGAAATGTGATTCCAAAATGACCACGCTTGCCAAAAATGCCAAACAAATGCGCGTTCCCATGGTTCATCATCCATTCTAGCTGCAGTCAAATCACTTCGTGCCGAAGCAGTTTCAGGAACAAGAGAGCAGCAAATGCCAAGGCTCCTTGTCTGTGGAAAACATTGCGTGTCGGTGACATTTGCAGTACATCTATAGCCACACCCACATGTACACAATATCATATACACGATATACACATACGTGTACAAATATGTGTATACAGTATACATATATAATATCTTATAATAGCTATAATATCTGTACCTCGACAACCCGAATCCTAGGAAATTCACGGGTTTCTTGGAAGTGATTTTTTTTTTGCACAAAACGATGTCAAATAATCAAAAACATCCTCATTTGACTGAAATGATAGAAATTCATCCAAAACCCATGACATGTGGATGTCGCAGGCTACACGGCTTCTGCATGACATGCGGTTTAATTTCCAATTTTTCACGCTCATAAACGTCAAGAATTACCTGCAAGATTCCTGCAAAAAAAAACATGCAATCGAATTTTCCCCAACCCACCCGATCACATCATTCTGGTTCCGGAAATTGTGAAGTTTACTGGTTAGAAAGCAAGGCATGCTAGAATTTTCGCGGAAAAGGATGCTCCATGGTAAAAATCATAATATCTACAATATCTAAAATATCCATATACCATTCTTAATGATCTGTAGACTTTTGTGAACGTATACGTATACATGCATATGTACATTCATGTATATATAATCTAGATATGCATATGTATATATAAATATACGCACGGTAGCTACAGTTAAACATACGGACTTTTAAATGCACGAACAGGTATTTAAAGATATCATCGTGTCCAGTTGGCATGTGCCTTAAGAGACCATGAAGTCACATTCTCCCTTGCCCAAAGATCATTGTGTCCAGTCGGCACCTGCGTAGACATAAAGTAGAGGTAGAGTAGAATAGAGTAGAGCACAACACAGCTTACAGCTTGAGTCCTCGCAACGTTGCACGGAGTAAACCTGCTGCTGTTCCAGCACCAACTGCAAATGCAAAGCCAGTGGCAATCAGGAGGACCTTTAACACTGCGCTGGCCTCATTTTTACACATCCGAAATCATGTAAAAATGGTCCAATATGATATCCGATATGACATCTATGATATGATCTGATATGATATCTGATGTGATCTCTCACACACACAGCCGCCACAAATGTTGGTTCATCTGATATGTCCATGTCGTCCATGAATCGCCAAGCAATGCCAAGAAGCAATCCGCAAGGCCTTTGCTGGACCTATCCTGACACTCAAAGAGCGTATGTGGTTTGCGCGGTCGCCCAAGACATCAGGCACGTCCTGGCTCGTGGACGACAAGGTGTACAGTAAAAATTGTAAAAACGAAGAAAAACCAACGGAAAGTTTAAGGCCAGACATGGCCAGACTCAAAACTGCTGGGTATTGATCAGGTGTCCTGGATTGGCCCGGCGTGAACATGCAGGAAAACCTAATGTAAGTTCATGTAGGAACCCGAGGAAACTAGTTTCGGATACTGTTGTGATCGGTACGCACGTTGATCCTAAGCTGTATTCATATCCGTTTGCTTTTTGTTGATGTGCAATGCCAAAATCAAAACAGCAACAAATGCAACAAGCAAAGGGAGGCGAGGCTAAGTTCCAAACAGAAACAAATGAAAAGAACAATCCTTTCTCACTGATTTCTCACCCAGCTCAAAGAATCAAAATGGATCTTGCCTTCATTAGGGCAATGACCAAACCAAACACTGCGAAGAAGGTCGCAGCCAGAACACTCCGGCCAGCTGGAACTTCTCCTGAAAAGATTCCACGCAAAAATAACGGATGCGAACTGAAATCTCAGAAGCCTGAACCAGTCCTGCTATGCCCATAGCATCCACAATGAAAGCGTAAAAACCCATGTTGACCACGATGCCGCGCACCACAATTATACCTCAAAGGTGGAAGACGCATTGGAACTTTAAACTGTCTTTGGAAGCCAAAGTGTAGAGCCCCTGCACACATTGGCCACTTTGCAGAAGCAAAACTTTTCACTTTTCATAACTTTTCATCAAGGTGCTAAAGGCCGCCAGGAAGGGAAAACGTTTGAGCCGAAGTGGGGGAGCAGAGTAGGCGCTACCGAGTATAGCAGAACTCAGCAGTGCCAACTGTAAGTACGGAAGTCCAGGCGGCCTCGGTTTCAAGCAGTGCATAGCTCAACACGGTTTCATCTGGACCATTTTCCATTCGCCGCAAAATGCAACAAAATGCAACAAATATGTTAGAGACGGTTTGATAGCTTCAGCTGACAGCTGTGCAGGCAAAGTTCCCCTGTTCAGCTTCAAATATTGATTCTAGTAAAAAATACAAAAAACATTTTCGTCATTGACGCGTTGTGGAGATCAATGACGTTGAAATCGGTGGGTCCACTAATTGCAAAGTCAGGACCTGCTGCTTCGCCGGAAAAAACTTGAAAAAACAGTAGCGGCATGTTCTGGCGCAGCGCACATGTAATGCGTTCAATGTCAAGGTTCTGACAGCACAATGTCATCGCCTCTGCTAAGAACAGGCTGGACAACACCACTATCCAAGCAGAGGTCAGTGACAGCCGGCCAGAAGGGATTGGCAAATAAGGTTTGTTCCTGAGCGTGAGCCACTTTTTCGCATCGAAAAAACTGTCGACTTGCTTTGGTGCGAAACCATGTGCTTCAAAGTGCATCAAAGTCGTGCATTTGCTTGCGCCGGACTCTAGAACTCTGCAAGTTGCTAGACTTAAAATATGGCAGCAGCAACAATCAATAAAATCAATAAACAATTCTTGAAACTCATCAGTCTGACATCCCTTTGAGGTTGCCTCTGATCAGAGAGGCTTAGGTAGAAGTGCTAAGGCAGCAACTGTTGGTCGATTTCAACCTTGGTAATACGTTCAGTTCAGAGGCAAATGGCAACAGAATGAATTTGCATCATCAGCACCCTGGACCTTGGATCTCCTGAAAGCAAATTGGCACTTCTGTAAAGACCCAGATTGTCAAGACCGAGAAACATCAAAGATCTGATTCAGGCCGGTGATGTACACCTTGGAAGGAATTCCACAGCTTTTCAGCCCCCAATCCATGCACGGTGCTGGTGTTGCACACCTCAAAAAATTGTTGTGGTCAGAATTTTGGCTCTGCATCGCTCTGCCGCTTTGGCGCGTTCACAAGCATTGCAGGTGCCAGAGCTTGCAATGTCAAACGGGCGAAATGGGCGAAGTGCAAATTTGGGGTTTGCCCAATGACAGGCGCCACTGCAAAGAGGTGAACCTCAGTTCGTAAGAAAACTCTGGACGAAGCGTGCTAGTCAAAACTCGAGTCTAAAGTAGTTCCCCAACCAAGACATCAATATCATCAATAGCAAACTTGATTTGACATTATCTTGGCAAGAGACCCCGAACAGTGTGGGGGGAATGGAAGGATAATGAATGACAATGTTTGACAATGTTGATGATGATGATGATGATGATGATGATGATGATGATGATGATGATGATGATGATGATGATGATGATGATGATGATGATGATGATGATGGCGACGGTTATGATTATGATGATGATGATGATGATGATGGTGATGATGATGATGATTATGATGATGATGATGATGATGATGATAATGGTGATGATGGTGACGATGACGATGACGATGACGATGACTATGATGATGATGATGATGATGATGATGATGATGATGATGATGATGATGTTGATGATGACGATGAGGATGATAATGTGGGGGACGATGATGTAGAGCATGATGATGTTGCGGAGGATGATGTTGAGGATAATGGTGTTGAGGATGATGAGGTGTTGAAGATGATTGAGTTGAGGATGAGGATGAGGATGATGAGGTGTTGAAGATGATTATGTTGAGGAGGATGAGGATGAGGATGATGATGTTGAGGAGGATTAGGATGAGGATGATAATGCGGAAGATGAAGTGGAGGAGGACAAGGTGGAGGATGATGATTTTGAGAGGGAGGGAGGTCATGATGTTGAGGACGATGATGTTGAGGAGGATGACGATGAAAAGGACGATAATGTTGCGGAAGATAGCGTGGAGGAGGAGGATGTTGCAGAAGATGGTGGAGGATGGTGATGTTGAGAATGATGATGTTGAAGGTGATGTTGAGGAGGAGGACTGATCCCGAACCTACGACCACACTTTGTGCGAGCCTGCGCAGTCGAAATACGCCTGGACATGTCAGAAGAGCAGCTTTGTGTGGAATTTGCAGGAAACGCTTTGCGCGAGCCTGCGCAGTCGAAACGCATGTGAAGATTTCACAAGAGCCACTTTATACGGAAATTCCCAGGGAAAAATGCCGCAGACCAGAGTGAGCCCTGATCAAGCACCGGCCTTTACACCTACCGTAAGAACCCTTCAGTGTGGACACACTGTTTGGGGAACTTTAAAAACTCTTCTGTTTCATCCGTTGTCCACTCACGCTACCATTGGAGCGATCACATGCATTTTGCGCACTGGCGGGGGTTGTCCACAGGCGCGTGACGCTGCCCAACCTAAGGCTTTGTCCACATAAGTTTGCTCACCTGCTTGATGCCACACGGTGCATGGGGTGCAACGGGGCAGGGACTGGGAGACGCAGCGCACGCTGCGCTGTTGCAAGGGTCCGTCGTTTGTGTTCGTGCTGGCACTTGATCCTCCGTATCAACTTGCAAAATTACGTTCCAATCAGAATTTAATCCAACCTTGAATTGTTCGAATGTCACCAACCAACTTGTCTCGATTTCTCTGAAACTAAATGTGATTTATGCCGGATGAGGAGGATCATGTCAAAATGAAACACGGTTGCGATCCTCAGCAAAACACACACACACATGCGGATGAGCCCCACAAAAGACTAAACCCACCACTAGAGGACTACACTAGAGGAATATCTGAAAGCATCTGAAAGCATCTGAAAGCATCTGAAAGCATCTGAAAGCATCTGAAAGCACTCCAGAGTTCGAAGCAGGGTGACACCGAACATGGTGAGTTTTCATGAATTCTCAATGAGAAATGATTCTTTTGCAGTAAACACCCATGTGATGTCTCAAGGCCCGAGGATGCAAATAATTGGCACAAACACGAGCATGGAGACGACAATGAACCGGCAAGGTCGCTTTGTTTCGTTCGGTTTTTGAAACATTTTCAATCATAGCTTGAATATATTTGAAACATATGGAATTTTCTGAATATATTTGACTCCCCATGACCTCGATCTTTTTGCTCCGAGTTACAGTGGTGATGGACAAAAAGGTGCCAATCAAAGTGTGAGGTCGTGTGAAGTCCTCGGGCACAAGCGGCACAAGTTCCTGTCACTTTTAAGATCGAATATAGATCTAATGAGTCTAATCTAACCCTAAACCCAAGACATACCAGTGAAAGGGGGCACGTGCGTAGTATGACACTCCAGTTACTCCAGTTCTGATTCATTAGAGAAATCTTTGTTTGACGACTGATCAAGGCACAATCAATCTATATCAATTTCATCGGTTTCAATGTCAAAGAATGTAAACGAGCTGAACTTCAAACGCCCAGCTTCCCAAATGGTCTTTGGCAGCTTCAGGAAATTCTCCTCAGTGCTGGAATTGCAACGAATCGGAAAGTGACGCTTCCAACTTGGTCTTGGCCAAGTCGCAGCCGAGACGGTTTCTAGTGGGCATGATTCATGCCTTCAATCGCCTCTTTCCACAGCTCCATATGAGTTGGAAAATGTACATGTTAGAGCAAGACAGCCACAGACCAGGATTGTTGTTGTGTCTGAACTTGCGCAAAGCTGCCAAAGATGATGTTGTGCTTGTTGATGATACCACCTATGCTGTGGGTTCAGCATGTCACTGTATCTTGTATATGAACTTAGAGCTACATATCACTTTTTATATTCAGTGACATGCAGCACATGGAATGTGGTTTGATTGCAGTTGGTATCCCTCAAGTATCTGTACTTGTAACAATACGGCATCAATCAAGTAATTATCTGACTACAACATGCAATTCACGTTGGACCGTGTCCACGTTTCAGCCTGGCTTGTACATCCCATGAAAGTTGCCAATGAGGTTGAATTACCGCACCTGACCGCAGGCGGCTCGTGGTACGAATCGCAGCTTTCTTCGCACAAACTTCGATGCAAGAGTCGGCAGCGCTGCTTGGGCAGTTGATGCGCTTGATGCGCTTGAAGTAGAGCCACTGGTTGAACCTGTGCAGCAGAGCCACGGAGAGGCTAAGGAACTTCATTTGCATCCAGACTCGAAGATCTCTAAGAGAGCATGCGCATGGTGAACACACTTGAAAACTGCCCTTGGTGCATATTCATTCATACCAAATTAGATCGTCTTTGTACAATCAAAACATGTCAAAACCCGACTTCTCAGCATTTCCATCAGCCGCAGGCCTGGAACAGCTTTGCATCCTGTGAGTAGTCCGAATCGAATGGTTCCGGTTCGATAGCCTCGATTCATCAGAGGCATCACCAAAGCGCCACGGAAAGTCTCCGCACCACCTCCGACGCAAGACACCAACTCCGACAAAGTCGAACTTAGGAACTTCGAGGGCTGCGTATGGCTGCGTGAAATCATTCAGCCTAGCTGCCTAGAGGGCCTAGCTAATTCCCAACAGCAGAAAACTTTTGCGTTTCAATCTCAGGAAGCAGTGGGTGGTATCGCGACTTCTCCCTTCTCTGGCATGTGCAGGGTTCCGAACCTTGTCTCCCATTAATAGTCACCCACCTAGAACCTTGGAGCCTTGTCTTCCACTGTGTCTCCCACCTAGTTTCCCACCTGGCCATCTTATCTTTCAGCTTGTCTCCAGCTTGTCTCCCCCTATGTTTCCCACTTTGTCCCACTTTGACTGCCACCAAGTGGCGGTATCGCGGCTCCTTCCCTTTTCCCAGTATCCAGTGGTTTTCCAGTTGTCTCCCACAGCTCCCCGTTGTCTCCCGGATGTCGTCTCCCCAATGTGTCTTCCACTTGTCTCCCAGCTGTCTCTCAGAGGTGCCCAATAATTCCCAATTGGTTTCTGCTTGTTTCCCTCCCAATTGTGTCCCTTAGCCTTGGCTTTGAATTTGAAACCGTCACTGCTGTTGGGTTGCGAAGCTGCGTTATTGTTGATCTGCAGTCAGTTCTCGGCAAAACGAGAAATGGCGCACTGGTGCAATGGATTCAATCATTGCTGAATGCACTGCAAACGAAAGGGAACCAAATTGCCGTAACCCAATCCTAAATCCTGCAAAACCAGCCAAGTCCAAAGGGAATCTCTTGAGATTTCAAGATCTGTGGCAAAATAGTGGGAAGACTTCATCCTATTCGAAGTCAACAGAAGTCAACGAGCAAGAACCAGAGAACTTTGAAACACATTTGGCTACCCTCGTATCTATTGTACGGCTGCAGACCCGGAAAAGACTACACACATGATCGGGTCAATACACGTATCCGGCAAAGATATTAAAAGTGAGGTAAAAAGAGGGCAGAGTGGATCTGGCCTCGCAACAGAGCCCACCAGCCCCGGGGTTGCAAAGCGCTTTGAATGACAGCAGACCAAAAGGGTGCGATGTACTGCGTCCAATCCGTCGTCTTGAGGCCTGTTCATGGCCAAACGCACCAAATGCGTCGATGAGCCGAATCTCTTCTGAGTCTCTCAGAACCTCTCTGTCTCTCTCTGTCTCTCTCTCCCTCTCCCCGTCCTGTTCTGCTCTTTCAACATTTTCAACCTGGTCTCAATTGCCTTCCAACTTGCCGAATCTCAAGTGAGCACTGACGGTTTGAAGATAACTCCCAAGTGGGCAGCTTCCAAAGAATTTATCCGTCTCGGACTTTACCGCAAAAGATTCGTATAAATTGATGTGGGGCGTTGCATTTCATAAGACTCTAATGGTCCCTGTCCTGTCATTCCCAAGTCTTCAGCTGCTATTTTGCGGTAATCTGCAATACCTCAGCGTTCGGTTAGTTGAAAGAGAACGGCCGAATCATTTTCATTTATCATTGATATTCAAATTTGAGGTATGTATACCAGTGCACTGTGAAGATAATAATATTGCCAGCTGAGACACTACACCACTCCGGTAGATGATATGCTTTGCTAATCCGATCCAGCAGGCGTTGTTCCTCGAGATTCCCAAACATCCCTGCTGTGCTTTCTAGATTTTTTTGATTCAGAAAACGGCTTTTCAGAACGCACCAAAAGGATCAAAAAGAAGAAATGCATCTGTTTTGACAAGTGGCAAGTGCATCAAGGATACACTGCTACACAATCAAAGAACGTATCGAAATCACTGAGAACATCTGCAATCAACCTTTCTTTGCGGTGTGTGTTGATAACTAGTCTGATATATTTTGCTACGGTACTTCGTTCTCCAATTTTCTTTTTGGATGGCGTCACTTTGCTAGCAACCTTTTGTCAATTTTCTCATGCTCCAGTCTGTCTCACTTTTGGCATTGGTGTCATGAGGCGTCCAAATTCTCTGAATTCCAATGATTTTGTTCCGGCAACATGAGATGAAGACCGACCTTTTCTGAGTTCAGATTGCTTCAGAGGTATTTCAGGGTGTATCAGGTCTATCAGATCTATCAAGTCTTGTCTGCAGATTGGTCTCCTTGGGTCGTAAAGATTCACCATTTTGCAGGTCCCGGTGAACCCAGGTCACCAAGATGATTCGACCGCCGGGCTTGCACACACGATGCATCTCAGACATAAACCTTGGCCCCATGATCGCCCATGATTGCCCTCTGTTATGTGAAAAATCATGCAAAATCACAAGGTTGCATCATGCAAAGGAACAATTGCCAAGATGTGTATTATGTGTATTGGTGATTATTGGTGCATGCTAAGAGCTCTTGCATGGTCGACATGCAATCAATGCAGTCAGTTCTTGGAAGTCTGTGCCAAGGGTCTTTGATTTCTGTGGCATGTGTTCGCCGCTTTCCAGAGACCAGATCAAATCGAAGGAGTTGTCAGCAAAGGGCATCCTTTGTCCAGGGCAAAAAACACGACAGCCATTTCTTTCACTTGCAACGTCTTGTAACCAAAGCAGCAGAAACTGGAAACCTTGTGGATTCTGGGCAGATCTGCCTCGGTCTCAAATTACTGGCCATTCAAGAGCCCAAAAAGATCGAAAAAGTAAAGATAGTGGCCCAAGTCACTTCAAGTGGGTATGAACTGAGATGAACTCAGACATGTGCAGCATGGTGTATAGAAAGATCGTGGCATCACCCACTCGAATGGGTGACAAGGCCCTATGAATTGCTCCCTATGGACCGAGTATCTGCAATGCATCGGCCACCTCAAAGTTACACAATCCATCCTGGCCTGCAAACAAGTCGGCAGGCAAAATGCCATTTCTGCATTGAAGTGTTTGGACCTTTACATTCTGAATCCAAATGTGAAAATCGAAAGCTGTGGTCAAGTTTTCCAAGACGGTGTTCTGACTCAAAGTATTCTGTCATGTCGAAAGAGAAAGATTGAGAGATGTCCTTTGTCCTTTTGTGTATCAAAGTCTCGATCCTTTTGCTCTCCTTGTGTCTGGCCTGTTCTCATTGAAAGATTTGCTGCCTGCTCTCGCTGCTTTGGACTCAAAGTTATGCCTTCAACAACTTTGGTGCGAAAAGAACATGGGCTCAAGAAGCAACAATATAGGACAGAAAGAGTTCTCCAAGACAACAAATCCAAGTCCCAACAAGACAAGAGAACCACAAAAAGTCATTTTGGCAACGACAACTGGAGGTTTCAGGAAAGACTAGGCTGATAGAAAGTTCCGTGCAAGATCCAAGACATGTCTTCACATGTTTTCACAATACATGGGTCAAGTTGACTCTCCGCCTGTGACTTTGGCAGCGTACTTCTTTTGCAAGAATCTGGAGGATCCACCAACACCACATCCCACGTCCAAAACAGACTTGGGTGCTTCCACTGCTTCCACTTCGGCCCAACTCAAAATCTCCTGAAATCAGAGTTCTCCGGAAACCTGACCGGAATGAAATCGAATCGAACACATTAAGCACGTTAAACACAAAATGGGGAACGGTTGGGAACGGGAACATGTTGAAGTCTGATATTTCTCATTGGGTGCAGAATAGTTTTTGGGTAAATTTTTAGGCTCAGGTTTTGGATTTTTTGTTGGCTTTCTTTCCTGGTACCATCTGCCTTGTATTTGCAACAGTTTGGAACTAGAATCTGTAATTTTGCATCATATTTGCTACATTTTGGCATGGTCACTTTGCATTTTGCATGGTATTTGCTACATTTGGCCATGTTCGCCTTCCATTTTGCACGGTATTTGCTACGTTTTGGCACTTCAACCTCTCATTTGCATGGTATTTGCTACATTTTGGTACTTCAAACGTTCATGTGGGTTTCTTGAGAGTTTCTTTAGGGTTTCATTTAGGGTTTTTTAGAGGGTCGTTTAGGGTTTATTTAGGATGCCATTTAGGGTTTCACTCAAAGTTTCTTTAGGGTTTCATGTAGAGTTTCTTATCAGTTATCAGGATTTCTTAATTATCAGGATTTCCAAACGTTCATGTGGGTTTCTCTAGGGTTTCTTGAGGGTTTCATTTGGGGTTTCATTTAGGGTTTCTTTAGGGTTTCATTTAGGGTTTCATTCAAGATTTCTTTAAGGTTTCTGTAGGGTTTCATGTAGGGTTTTACTTGGGGTTTCTTTAGGGTTTCATTTAGGGTTTCATTTATTTCATTTAGGGTTTCATTTATATTTTCTCTAGGTTTAGGGTTTCTTTAGAGTTTCGTTTAGGGTTTCATGTAGGTTTTTTTTTAAATCAGGATTTTCAAACGTTCATGTAGTTTTTCTTTTGGGTTTCTTTAAGGTTTCATTTGGGGTTTCATTTAGGGTTTCTTTAAGGTGCGTTTAGGGTTTCATTTCAGGTTTCATTTAGGGTTTCTTTAGGTTTAGGGTTTCATTTGAGTTTTTTTTAGAGTGTCGTTTAGGGTTTCTTTGGGATGTCATCTAGGGTTTCATTTGTGGTTTCTTTAGGGTTCAGTAATGGTTTCTTTAGGGATCATTTAGGGTTTCATGTAGGTTTTCCTATCAGGAGTTCTTATCAGCATTTCGTTAAGGTTTCTTTGGGTTTCACCTAGGGTGTTTACAAACAGGAGAGAATAAAGCAAAAGAAAAGAAAAAACCAAGAGGCAGTAAAGACAGGAAGTAGAGAAGGAGAGGAGCAGGAAGTAGAGCAGCAAAAACACATGACTGAAGAAAAGAAAAAGGAGAATAGTAGAAGTGGAAAGGCACAGAAGCACAAAAGCAGAAAAGCAGAGAAGCAGGGAAAGCAGAGAAGCAGAAAAGAAAAGAAGCAGGTAAAGCACAAGAGCAGAAAAGCAGAGAAGTAGGGAAAGCAAAGAAGCAGGTAAAGCAGACAAGCAGGAAAAGCAGAGAAGCAGGAAAAGCAGAGAAGCAGAAAAGCAGAGAAGCAGGAAAGCATAGAACCAGGAACCCAAAAATAATTCCAAAACCTGCCGCAAAAACAAATAACAAGAATAAATAGCCATCCTTTCTCATTTCATCCCAAGCACTCGGACTGAGCTAAATCAGAGAGGAAAATCAATGACATACTTCATCACAACACATATCGAATATGATCGAATGATGCACTGGAATGCTCTTTTTATCTCTTTTCTCTGTTAAATTTCCTTTTGTAACTTTGTTTTTGGCACGTCGATTCTTCGACAAAACGCTTTTCCATTTTCTGGGGTTGGCCCATGACGGCACTATTAATCTCTACACAGCATGCAAAAATCGATCAGTTTTGCTTCAAAAGTTCTTGCAGATTCTTGCACTGTTCCACCTACCTTTTTGTCTTTCTTCCAATTTGCTTCGAGCAGAAACAGAAGGAGTTTCACAGTCTGCGCAGCAATGATTCTGAGTAGGTTTGCATCTTCCTCCAAGCCGGCTCTATATTTCCTTGGCAGTTTTTGTCTGGGTGGACCTTTTGATGTTTTTTCAGATTTCTCAGCTGCACAATTCTAACTCCGGACTCCTCGATCATTCGTACTTGCGCTTCTTGATGTTGTTCCAAGGACCTGTCAAGTGACCAAAGTGACAAACCTGAACTGCACGTGTATCATGTGTGGTAAATAGACGTATGTATGTAGCTTTAGAACATTGGTTATCAATCTGGGCACTTTTGTGGCTCTCACTCTTCGAACTTTTGACAGCGTATTCCTGCAAGGAAGCATATTCACACCTCACATCTGCAAAAGTATATATATATTATATATATTATATCTATCTGTATATATGTTCCTTCTTCAATCATCTTCTGATATTCTCACCCTCAAAAGCCCATCGCTCTTCACTGATCACTCTCTCCCTCTCTCACGTCGGCCTCCAAGAGTTGTCTTCATAGTAACCGTGATGCAAATGGTCACCCCAAATCTCTACCCAGACACCTCGCAGGTGACACATGGCATTTCGTGGCATTTGACAAATGAAATATGAACGAGATGACGAGATGGAATGAATCGCTCTGAAATGATTGAAATGTTCAAATCTTGGCAATGTGAACGCACTGCCTGTGGAGGCATCGTAGAAATCTGCGATTCCCTGCTGCAGCGATCGCTGCTTCTTGGTTCGAAGAGCTGCAAAGAACCCTGCGATGGCAGCAGCAGCCGCAGCTGCGAAAGTCAGACTATGACTCTGGCGAGTCAAGTTGGAAACTCTGGCCTGCACAGGGATGGAAACCTTGAACAAGCAGTAACAAGCGGTAACAAGCGGTAACAAGCTTAGCATGCAATAGATTTTTCCAAACGTATCTGTTTCATGATTCTTGGATCCTCAATCCTCACTATCATGTACATTCCGTGAAACCGTGACTGAGGGCAACTGGCTGCTTGATGGATCAGAGAGGATCAGAGATTCTCTAGGCAACCTGTGTGCTTGTTGGCTTCGGCAAGATGCATTTTTCTCTGCAAACTCTGTGTATCTCTGTATTCCGGAGATTTGTTCCATTTTGTTCCACTTCTTTGCCTCTCTCATAGGACGCACTCGAGGCTGCTGAGTGTGAAGCTTCTGCGGAACCACAAAGGCAGGGGCTATGGCTGTGGTCGCAGTACTTGCTGTCCTGGCTCTGCAATTGTACTCGCCACCAAATTCCTCAACGGCCGAAGCAACACCGAGAGAATCCACGAGAATCTGTGATCCGTGTGAATCCTGGACTGTTCGGAATCTCTTGGGGAGTTCGCACGCAGTCATATTCTAGGTGCAATGTGCAGCTCAAAACTTGTTCCCAAAGACAGTCCAAGGCTCCAATGCTGCATGTCTAAAAATGGCATACTCTACTGGACGCTGACTCCTTCTATCCTCGGTGGAAAACAGCAACCAAAAGTTGAACGGAGCATGAAAAGCTGAGCGAAAACCAAAGGAAGCAACCACAAAGTAAACAAGGACAAATAGAATGATTCATTAAGCCTTAATGACTGATCAAATCTTTCTCTTTTAATCCAAATGATTGATTAAATGAGGAAAAAAGGCAGATAAAAACCGACAGATACCGACAGTAGGCTGTTCATCCAAGACACGTAGAGCCGCACCACTGCCAAAGCTGAATGGCTTTCAGAGCTGCCTCACAAAGCTCAAGTTGCTGAAGTGAATCAACATGTGCACCTTTTTCATCCCCTATTCCCGGTGGCAAAGCCTGGCAAAACTTGGCAAAACATATAACATATGTATTAATTTGTATAAGCCATGGCTGAAAACATCTACGAACACTTCTGTGCCATTCTGTGCCTGGGTCTTGGCTGAAGCCACTGGTCGTTGGCACGAAAATGTTTTCGGAAAAACCTCAGAAGTGCCATTGACGGCAAACCCCCAACCGTTGCCATCGACAATATTGACACATCCCCCAGCCACTTCAGAATGAGTTCACACTTTCGTCTGAATAAACAATGCAACCTGAAAGCACAGCTATAAGATCTATACAGTCTACTTATCACATATCAGTTGTAAGATCTCTATACAGGTCCAATTAGTTTTCTGATGCCTTCTGTTTTTCTTGGTTTTGTGATTTTTGTCATTTGTGTTTTGTAAAATGTCGTTCTTTTGTCATTCTTGTTGTGTTTTTGTTGCTCGCATTGACGCCACGTCGACCACGTCGTTCGACCGCTCCAAGCAGCTCTCAGGGCGCGCTGAGATCATCAGCTCCAAGCGGCGGACGCCAGCGAAGGCCGTCAAGGCCAAGGTGCCGTTGCAGGGCTCCACCTCGACGTTGCCACATCAAGGCCACGTTAAGGCCACGTTAAGGCCACGTTAAGGCCACGTTAAGGCCACGTTGGATTGAACACTTCGAGAAATCCAAGAAATATCCAAATTATGTGGTAAAAATATGGTGAAACACAGTAAGGGCAGTAAGGGCTTGAGAAAGATTGAAACAGGTCAAAATGGTCAAAGGATATCACTGTCACACATTGCAAACGCTCATGGATCTCATGGGAAATCTCATGGAACATGTTCTGGTTCTATATGTTCTTTGCGATGTCTGGCATCCAGCCTTCGCCTGGAAACGATGCAGGTCGATACTTCGAAAGGTCCAATGCCGCTCCTGGCAAAGGCATGCGCAGGCACAATTGAAACAATTGGAGCACAGCAGCTCCAGAAGTCACCAAAACAAATGTTGGAGGAAAGGCCTTATTGCATTTGCCTTGAAACATGTCACATCTTTGTCACTGAAATCCAGCAAGCGCAATCTCCGATCTGTAGCTATGCACTATTGCAGAGATGCCGCTGCAACTCTATGTGAACTTGCAGAGACGTCCTTGGAGCGGTATGTCAAAATAAAGTGCTCGGAAGTGACACCAGAAATTGTGAACCTTGGCCGCGAGGACGGCGCGGTAATTTTGCAACCCTGATCTTAATCGAGCAGCAAGTCTTTGCCTACACATGCCCAGTACCTAGCGTAGAATTTTGCATTTCTTGTTACTTCTTCACAAGTAACAAAACCTGGCAGGTTTCACAAGGGCATAGGTCACAAGCAGACATCGAAGTGACTCAGAGTCTGGAAGTCTGCCAGGCCAGGAACCATCTACAAAGAATTGCCGCCAAAGCAGCTTGCCGCCTGTGAGCAGCATCTGGATGCGTCCACCATCCGTAGCCTGTACCCAAGTGAAGGCCACCGGAAAGCGGCGACCATAGTTCATCTCCTGCGTGAAATGCTTGTGTGTCACCAAAACATAGATTTTGCAGAAGCTAAAAAGCGCATTGTGCCTTGCATACGTTTTTGCTCACACGCGTGTGCTAATGACCCTACATCGAACGGAGGACTCGGAAAAACAAGTCCAATGAGGGCAAATGCAATGGTGAGCAGCCAAAGCACAGAGATGTATGTTCCAGTATGGTGAGCACCCCGGGTAACGCCAAAATGAGAAAAGTCTTGCTATATATAGTATACCAGTATAGAGGACCAACAATGACTAACGATTCTACATGACTTTACAGTACCTTGCATCAAAATACAAAAACTCTTCCAAAATCAAAACAAGTGAGAGTCCAAGCATGGGAGGGCCAAAGATTCAGAGTGATTGGTATGACATCAGGAAACCCAGATTGGTTTGTTGCCTTTGGGTGTTAACGGTGAGGTCACTGGCGAAGGCCTCTCTTGCGGTCGGATGGCGCGTCCTGATGAGCAACGCCTTTGCCTGAGACTTTGTCAAGCTCATACTCAGTCGATGAGTGAAGACTGCGAACAAAATAGTGCGTTGGCCTTGGCTGATCTTGGCTGCATCTGAAATAAAAAGGGAGAGACCTCCTTAGAAAATTATCCAAAGCGAAACCCACAGTCGCCAATGACATGCGATGACATGCGATGACACCTGACATACCGCGAGCTCAGTCCCAGAGCTCAGTCGAGCTGGAATGTTGTCCAGAATCGAGTATTCTGATCAAATCATATCAAGTCGATCAAGTATTTCAGAGATTTTCAGAGTCGAGTATTTCAGGAGTCTAGGAGCCCGGCATCATTGAAGTGGGCAAGTGCCCTACCCAGCCCTCTGGGCTCCAGGGCACAGCATTTTCGAGCCGTGCAGAGAAGCGCCAGCCGGAGGGAAAAAGAAAATCCTGGTGAACTCACCGCAGCAAAACAGCGAAAACAGTTTGTGAAAGACTTCACAAAATGTTTGTGAAAGACTTCAACTCCAAACATTTCTTTGATAACTGGCGACAAAGCACAGCGCTCTCGGCACAGCGCTGATGCAGTGTATGATAATCATTAGGATAAAAAAAAATAGAGGTTAATTCTTGGTAGATTATGGTAGATTCACATGATTCATGTTTGCTCATGTATGTATAACTGTATAATATACATATTTTTGATTGGCACATCATAAATCAATAGAGCAGACTAGATCAGATCTGAACAGATTACTGTAGATTAGATAGGATCAGATCTGATCAGAGTAGAACAGATTCGATAAGACAGGATTAGAACTGAGATTAGAATAGATTCGATAGGATATGATTAGATCAAATTGATGAATTTTAGATTAGAACAAATTAAATGAGTAGATAAAATTCATCAATTTGATTTTTTTTCTAATGATTATCATCAAACTGTTAGATTTTCATAGCAAGGCAAGTCGAAGAAATCGAGCGGTCCATGGTGGAGATCGAGACATTGGTCCGGAAACTCCTCAGCTGAGGCTCGTTGGAGGCAATTTGGCAACACGATCATGTCTCTTATGACGGCACAACAAATTTGTCCAAAGGACTTGAAAAACAAAAACATAGGAAGGTATGAACTCAAATTTTATGCAAAAACAAAAACAATGCCAGCACGCAAACCTCAATTGAATGCAAAGAATGTCAAGCGGAAACCTCACAAGTTTGCAACATCTGAAGTTGTTGAACTTTGAAAGATTCGAATCAAAATATCCCTTTTCCCGAACAAAGCTTTTGTTGGGAGTTTGATGCCAGGAAACCCGATTGGCAAAGTCCATAAATTATGATCTTGGTCGCCCTTAGTCAACTTCGTGACCAAGTTGTCCCCACGATGCATTGTGACCTCAAAGACACACAGCAGATCGAAGCAGTATAAAGCAACCGAAAAGAAAATATGTTCAAGACAATTTAGAAGTCAAACTTCGGACAATATTGACAGATGAAGCAGCAGAGGTGGGAAGAGTCAGAGAAGAGAAAGGGAGAAGAAAGAAGAGCAGAGAAGAAAAAAAATCAGAAGAAAAAAACTCAAGGCGGGCGAAAGGTAGAAAAATCGCAAAACATTTGCATTGTGTTTTTCCCGAATGCGTAGCAAGGGTTCCCGTTTCACTCTGGGGGTCTGAGGGTTGAGGGTGTGTTCGCTCGACGTTGCGTTCACGTTCGCAACCGTCCGCAACCGTTCGCAATCGTCCGCGCGATCCCGGTATGGCCGTGCCTATGGTAAGTTCTGCAGAAGGGGTCATTTTTGGAGGTTTCCAACGTTTCGTTGCTTTGTTTCGCGTGGTAGGCGTGGCACTTTGTGACATTCAGACGTAATACTTTTGCGGCGTTTTCCGAAGATGCGTGGCAGATTTCGTGGCACGCGCAGCACTTTGGACGTGTCCATCGTCATTTTGCGTGGCAGGCGCAGCACTTTAGACGTGTCGTGTAGTGTGTTTTTTGCAAATCGCATTGGCAGGGCTGCGTCAAGTAGCGACAAGGTGCAAATTCCGGCAGGCGTAGCATTTTGTGACATGTGCTGAAAGTGGACGGAAGCCTCGCACGAAACATCGATTTTGAGGTTGCAAAATTTAGAGGATCCTACAAAAACTCGTAGGAAAACGTCGATTTTGAAGCTACAAAATGTGAAAATTGGAGGAAGTCTCGCACGAAATGCTCGTTTTGGTGCTCCCACGTGTCTCGTCTCGAGTCTCTGGTTTTCCTGTGGCTTCCCCGTGTCTATGGGGAAGCCGCAAAAACTCTCTTTTTTGAAGGTTTCCAAGCAGGTTGTCATGTCGTTTTGGGTGGCAGGCGTGGCACTTTGTGACATTCCAACCTGTTTGATACCGTGTCGAAAATGTCAACATAGGAAGCACTTTACACTCCACACTTTACACTTTG